CTGAGGTGGACTGTTTTACTAATTTAGTTCCCAGGGGCAAATCGGAAAAACAAAACCATCACCCTCCCCCCCAAAATAAAACACACACACGCAGTAGAGAGCATCCATCTCCCTTTCTGAAAATCTGTTTAGAAAAAAAAAAAACAAGACTTCCTATTAAGGGTCAATGGCCAACTTGTTTGAGAAGTCAGCATGTCCATGTAGCCGCTTTTCCTCCACTCACAAAGGGCAGAGAGGAAGAGACATGCCCTCATCTAGTTTTTGCTTCCAAACAGCTATTCTTGATGGAGGCTGTTGTGTGTGTGTGTGTGTGTGTGTTTCTCACTGAGCCTCCGTTTCTCTCAGGACAAAATTAGAGAATTAAGACAACATTATCTCAGAGACTTCTTCCATCCCTGCCAATCTGTGATTCGGTGACTCTTGTTACCCTGCTGAACAAATATTGTTACTAACACAGAACAGGAAATAGCCTCTCGTAATCACATGCCGTGCTTTCTCTTTTAGCAGGTTTACATTCCCTAAGGACAGGGAAGCAGCGGGTTCCAGGGTGCCACAGTCCTGGTGGGGGAAGCCAGGCTTGCTTGCCTTGGCCAGAAAGACGCTCAGCTCAACTGGTTCGTCCCATCAGCCTGTCCTGGTGAACCTGAATTGCAAGAGATATTTCCAGGTAAGAAATAGCTGACTTTGATGGTCACAAACAGTTCAATAGAGAACCGATATTGTTAGCTCCAGGGAGTGTGTAAAAGCACGCTTCTAGAATCTGTGAAGGTCTCAAGGATGGTGATTGCACTAGTTTTTTTCAGGAGAGGTCATGCTGCCGAACAGGACATCTATGTAAAGAGAAATGCAAGGACATGATTCGTGATGGACATGCACTTCAGTGTAACTGTAAATGGAAATCAGCTAACGGCCCCTGATGGCCGAGGGGTTAGAAGTTGGGCTGTAATCCGCCAGGTTGTAAATCCAAAGCCCCCAGCTCGCTCCTCGGGACAAAGACGCAGCTTTCTACTCCCCTAAAGAGTTACAGTCTTGGAAACTCACAGGGGCAGTTCAACCCCGTCCTGTCCTATGGCATTGTGATGCGTGGGCGTGGACTCAGTGGCAGTAAGCTTTTCGTTTGGGGAAGGTGTGTTTTTGTTTGTTTGCTTTGGGGGTGTGGTTTTGGCATTCTCCAATGGAAGAGAAACAGGGCTTTCCATTAGCCTGGAGATTGTCTTGGGCACACGCAGAGACCGTTCTGTCCTGCACTATAGAGTCGCTGAGAGTCGGCATGGACTCGATGGCAGTGAGTTGGGTGGACTGTGGTGCTCTGTAATGGGTGCTCTGTGGGGGTGTCATGGGTGCTGAGTTCAGCTTGCTCGTTGGAGAACCCTACATAGGGTCTCTGCGAGTTGGAATAGACTTCAGGGCGCTGGGTTTGGGTTTGGGGTATTCTATAACAAGGCTCCTTGACGGCCTAGTGGTTGGAGCATTTGGCTGCTCAAATGTACCAGTAGTGATTTACAGTAGAAACATCAAAGAGCAGATTTGCTCTGTCCTATAGGGTCCCTTGGAGTTGCAATGGACTCCCTGAGCGTGGGTAGATGTTCTGTAACAGCATTCTGAGTGGGAGCTGCTGTTACCTAAGGTCTTTGGGTTATTTTTGAGATCTTGAATAGCTTAGAACTGCAAGCAGAGGGAGAACAGATTTGAACTATTAGTTTTAGACCACATTTTGCTTTCAGAGTCCATTTTGAGGTGAAATGCAATCAGGGTTCTTTTCTGGCCAGCCTCTATTTGGAGAGGCAAGAGAGCAGTCCTTAGCCATGGCAACAAAACCCTCTGCTGGGGTGTCAATTCCAATTCGTGGTGACAGAGGGCAGAGTAGAACTTCTGCATTATGTTCCCAAGCTTGGAATCCTCATGGAGTCACACGTCCACATCGTTCTCCTGCAGAGTGGCTGATGGGTTTGAATCACTGACCTTTCGGTGAACAGTCAAGTATGTAACAACTGAGCTGCCAGGCTCCTTGTCAGTCGCCATGCTGAGGTGGGATCACAGCTTCACGTCAGAGGCCTGGTTGACACACGCCATGGTCGAACATTCTTAGAAACAAATGCATTGCATCAAGTTATCATCCCAGATCCCTTCCAAGGCATTACTGCAGCTCTTCGTTCCCCTTGCTCTCTTCCTTTCCTTTCGTTTTCTCTTATTACCTCTCTTCTCCCTCACCTCCTGCTAAACCGCTATGAACACATCCCTTGAGGTGGATAAAAAGGATAGGATGGTGTGTACTTGAGCTTCTGCTGTGGACGTACATCTCTCTATGCTCCCTAAGATCTCTGACGTCTCCGCTCTCAGGACTCTGGCAGAGCAGCATATCACTTTTCCGCCCACCGAGCACCTGCGCGGACAAGCTCATGAGTCATGCAGGAGATGCGGATGCGCTCAGATGGCCACGCACCTGCTACCTTCTCAGGTTGCTGGAGTTCCCCTCTCCTGTCTGTTTCATCTAGGTGTATTGGATTGCTCTGTAAACTAAAACCAGAACCCTTCCATAAAACTACTGCAGATACTGCGGAGGGTGGGGCGGGATCATTTCTAAGGCATTCTCCGTTTTCTGAGTTTGCAGGATCATTTCATCCCTGGCAGGTTTGCCTTGTGCACGTTCTCTGAAAGGCAGAGGACCAGCGCTGCCTTGCTGCCTTCCTTTTTGTCTCTTGTGGTTTCCTTCCCGAGGGTGATCCTGGAGCTGTAGCAGAATTCCGGGGAAGGAAAATCGCTCTTGGAAGTAGACAGCCCTGACTTCAGGTGTCGGCTCTGCTGTTTATTCCTTGAGTGATTTTGGAGAGGTCGGTTCGAATTCCCAATTCTCTCTTCCTGCACCTGTGAAAAGGGGAGTGTCAACCCCAACATTATCGGCTGGTTGTTGTTGCTAGGTGCTGACGAGTCACGTTCAAGTCGTGAGGAGAGTGAACCATGGCCCCGCCCTGCACCTTCCTCAGAATCCTTTCGGTGTTTGAGCCCAATGTGGCAAACCGTCTGACTGAAGGGTGTTCCTCTTTTTCATTGAACCTTTGCTTTACCAAGCGTGATATTATTCTCTAGGGACTAGTCCCTCCGGATAACATGCCCGAAGTACATGAGATGAAATTTCACTATCCTTACTGTTAAGGGGCATTCCATCTATACTTCTTCCAAGACAAACTTGTTTGTTCCCTTGGCAGCTCATGGTACATATGATATTCTTCACCCACATTGCAATTCCAATGCATCAACTATGATGATAATTTTTGGCTTTTTTACTCCCTCCTAGCATCTTTTGATTGTGTGCTGGACTCTGTCTGAGGCCTTGGAGAATGTCCTCACAACCGAGTCAGTTGCTTTGGGGACTGTGACTAAGTTTTGAATTCAGGGCTTTGTACTTGGTTGGATAGTCGAGTATCCAACACGTGTTCATCCGGCACCACAGCCCTGTCTTCCCGCTTTGTCTGTTCGCTCTCTATGAGGCATTCAGGCATCCGGTCATCCGCTCACTTAACAGCTCTCGGTTGAGCACGTACCAGGTGGCAGGCACCATTCGTGGTGTTGGGGACACAGCACCGAACAAGACAAAGTGCCTGCTCTCAGGAGCTTCCTTTCTAGGGGAGTAGGGAATCATCCACAGGCACGTATATACGATGCCAGGCAGCAGTCGGTGCCATGGAACAACTCAAGAGCAGAAAGGAACAGAGGTAGAGAAATGAGCAAGACAGTTTTATAGAGTATCAAGCAAAGCCTCTCTGAATAGACAGTATCAGAGCAGGACCTGAAGAAAGTGCAGGATTAAAGCCCATGCAAATGAGACTAGGACAAAAGCTTTGAGGTAGACATGTGCTTGGGCTTTAGGGAACTGCAAGTGGCCAATTAAAGAAGGGGTGAAGTCAAGAGTGGAAGGGGGTGAGGTCTAAGCAGGAATGGAGCCAAGGAGGTGGTAACAAAAACTGACCAATCTCCTAATCAGTGTTACACATGCACTGTTTGCGTAGCCCTACCGAATCATCTGGTAGCACTTACAGAAACTTGGATAGTAATAGTTTCTTAATATAGAAACTTCACTCAACCCCAGTCTCCCACAAGTCACTTCTACCAATTCTCTTGGATGTACTCATGTCATGGACTGTGACTAAGTTTTGAATTCAGGGTAAGAGGGAATGCACCCAATTCATTCATCAAACATCTGCGTGCCTATTATGTGCCAGCACCACTGCTAGCTAATCGGGAGAAATGGCGACCTCGATTCAGCCCCGCACCTCACTGGAGAGACATGCTCGTGACTGGTGAACATACCCTGTTTGATGGTGTGCTAAGAATGGGATGAAGGGAGGTCAGCAGAGGGATTGCTGACACAGGTGGAGGGTCAGAGGATCACAAAATTGGGGACACTCCTTGAGGACACGCTGCAACCACTCAACCCTGGAAATGAGGAGTTGTTGGGCAAGTGAAGGGGATTTGGGGAGTACATCAGGAAGGTGGGAGGAGGGAGGGAGCACTAGAATGAACTGTGATTGCCCAATTCATTCTAAAGGCAATGTAACCCTGGTGGGGGAATGCTCTGAACTGGATGTGGTAATGATTATACAATCCTCCTTGATACGATTGAATGATTGAACTGTTGAATTGTGTGATAGGTAAACTATGTGCCAGTAAAACTTGGAGGGGGAAAGGAAAACAGGGTGGGAGATTGACAGACATGTTCGAGCCATGGTGGTGAGAACGTCCAGGCAGAGGAAAAACAGGAGCCGGATGCAGAATCTGGATCAAGCAAACAGCCAGAGAACTTTACCAAAGCATCCGTTTCTGTTTGGATGCAGGCCACGCCCCTTAGAAAACTCCTCTTAACGGATTGGCTGTTCGTAGTACATTTCATCATGGAAGTGATTCCATTCTATCAGCACCCATCAAGAGGAATGACCATATCTGCCAAACTGTATCACGACGGCCAAGCTGCTGAGAAGCGTGGCCCAACTCAATTGACACACCGCATGACCCCACCCCCCACCCCCCGCAGCTTGCAAAAGAGGTCATATGAGGTGCACCTTGAGGGATCAGTAGGAGTTGGGAGAAAGACATTCCAAAGAGCAGCGTTACATAAACAGGGACCAACAGTCAATTCTCTGTATGGATGGTAGGGAGGAAATAGCCAAAGTGATCATCAGGCACAGTGAATGCCTGATTTCTGCTTTTCCAAAATCCATTTGTGGCCACCTCCTCATCCTCCCACCTTGTTCTCTACCGTGACTTAAAAGAAGCAAATTGACGCATTTAGGTTGATCTCGCCTCTGACCCCAAGGAGGTGTCAATGAGCAGAAAAGGAGAAGGGAGACTAAGAAAAGAAATAGAAAGAGGTGGAGGAGGACGAGCCAGCACTGTGTCATCCAGAACCGGGTATCACAACAACAGGTCACCATCACTCTCCAGTGACGAAACCCAGCTTTCCCAAGAGCTGAGCTGCTCCTTGACAGGGAGAAGGAGAAGGGATTTCAAACTGCATCCAGCCTTCCTTCCCATGGAGCAGTGTGTGTGTGTACATATTAGTTAGAATGTGTTCTGCAATGTCACACAGGGCCTAGTGCAGATGACTTCGAGTGATGCTTATTGGCTGGAAGATGGAGGAATGGGTTAGGACTGATCTTGCTGACCTATGCG